AAGATGGCAGGCCCTTGCTTGCCTTGGAACTTTGCAAAGAGTAGTGCTGGTCAGTCAGCACATTTAGAGTCCCCATCAGCAAGCCAGCTGAAGGCACCAGCAGTGACTCATTCACTATCTTATTCCAATATTTTGTTTATACAGACATGTATAGTTATGTGCGGGCCAAAGGAGTAGAGTAGGGGAGGGAGTGGTTTTGTTTATCTGTCTTCCCTCACTGGAAATGTAAATAGTGATTCTTGTGTTGCTGACTTCTCAAATATCAGACCTTAGGACAATGTCTGGCATGGATTCTGAAGTTATTATTTTTAATAAATTGCTGAAAAGGTATGCATACATATGTGCATATGCCATGTGTGCAGGGCTCCAGCAGACATCACTGGTGAAGCCATTTTTGGACTATTGTTCTGTTCTGCTTACTCTTCCCCTTCCATTCAAAGCCAGTTCCTTTGCTTCGTACTTTGGATAAACCCATAGCAATCTCGCTTCTGCCCCAGCTACTCAAATAAAATTGCCTCCAACAGTTTCCAGTTCCCAAAATTTCCTGACTTCTAAGTTTAATATATTTCATAGGCTTCATCTTAGGTAAGAACATATCATTAACGTTTTTCTTCTTCTTCCTGGTTTTTTAAGATAGGCCTCCTGTAGCTTGGAGCTTGCTGTGTAACTGAAGCTGGCCTTGAACTCCTGATCTTCCCACCTCTCCCTCCTGAGTACTGGTATCACAGGTGTGTGCCACCACGCCCAGACCATGAATGGCTTTCAACAACTTCTTCCTCAGAATGTTACCGTATCTCTTTGTTTTTGTCTTCTTTCACTACAGTTTGATTTCATACCAGCACAACACCCAGTTCTTCAGATAAGGAAAATTCTTTCTGTAATAATTTCATAACTTTCTGTTACCATAGAGAGAAGTCTGAACTACTGCAGTGACACTTAGCTGTGTGGAGGCATCCCTGTGAAAATCTATTGAGTAGTTCTTAGAATAGCTGGGTTTTTCTTATATCCTACTTGGTAATAGCTGAGATTATGTTTTGTGTGCCATGATCATTTTCATTCAGAAAAGACTGCTCAGGTTTTGTTTTCCTCAAATGTGATGATGAACCTCGTCAACCTGACTGGATTAATAGCAATGAGGAACTTAGTAAGACACACCTCTGGTGCGGCTGAGATGTAGATCACTGGGGCTCTGACTTAAAGAATGGTTTAGTTCATTAATAGAGTCAAAATTTGAATAAACTATTGAGAGGTGGTGGGACTGTAGAAGGTAGAGCATGTTTGGATATCAGTTAAAGCTAGAAAGAGTGCATGTGTCTTTGAGGGTTCTGTCCTGCCCTGACATCTTTCATTACTTCTCTGCTTCCTGTCTGCTGTGCTGTGAGCTGCTCTATACACCCTCCCTACCGTGATGGACTGAAGTCTCTGAGACCGAGCAAAATACAGCTTTTCTCCCCTAAGCTATCTTTCAGTGCTTCATCACAGCACTAAGAAAAGTAACTAGCAATCCAGCTTTCCATTGTAAGAATAAGATCTAAAGTAAGGTTTTTAAAGACTTTTTATTACTATATATTATTTTTTCTATATCAAGAGCTCCTCTCTTTACCTGTGCTTGCAACCTCAAACCTTCTGACTGCAACAATAGGGGAAAGTATGAGTAGGCCAACTACCACTCTGTTACAGAAGCCCAGTAAGCATGAGGAATAGTTGTAGCAAAGTGCATGCCCATCTGTACCTCTTCTTCCAGGCTGCAGAAAAGAGAGCAAATAAAAGACTACATTTTTCTCTCCATGGTTAAGTTCACCACCATCTAGGGATATGCTCTTTCCTTCTTTCTGTTTTCTCCCTTCAACTCTCCACCTCAACTAGCCTACATGGTCAAGTTACTCCCATGGAAAACTCCCACCAACTAACTCTTCCTCTTAAACACTGTCCCTTTTCATCCTGTACTTTCTTGTTGGTGCTTCTCAAAATAATAATATATGCCTGCTCCCTTTCTTCAATTTATATTCAATTTCTTAGCATTTGTTTTTGTAATACAGTGTACATACCAAAAAAAAGCATAAAATATAATAAGTAGAATCTAATAAATTAGCTGTGTAGCTTTCTTTGCATCCCTTCACTCCTCACCCTGCTCTCTGCCCTCCCAGATTCTCAGTGAGGCCCCTGTGAGCAGTTGCATGTGTGATGGCTGTGCTTCTGTCCTTGTGTTGCTAGGCTTCTGTTGTGCTTGGCAGTGTAGGTCAGATCTTCCTTGAAACTGTTCTTTAAGGTCTGGGCTTTTGTCTTCCTGTGTCTCCTTAGCTTTGAACCCTCCCTTCTCCATCCCTTTCATGAGCCTTTGTCTGTCTGCCCTTACGTGTTGTTTCCTGGGCTCCATCATGAGCCCACTACCACTCCACACTAAACTCTAAGAAGCATTTCTTGCCTAAGAGCTCTTTTAGAACAGATGGGGTTTTAACTTTTCCTCTAACATTAACTCTCACAAATATTTATATTGCAGACCAAACCTGGACCACCTAAAAGACCAAAGACCCCTTCTGGACAATCAGCATTGGTGTATTGCTACAACTGTGCACAGAAAGGGCATTATGGGCATGTAAGTTTGAGTGGTTTTTGGACATAATGCATCTTGTTGTCAGGGAGTGGTTGCTGAGAGGTGAGCTCAAAATGATGTAACTGGGAACACTTATTTGTTTATAAGCTAACCTTCAATGTTAAGATGATGTATTTTCAACTAATTTACTTCTGTGGTTCTTACCAAGAAACACTGTCAAAGCATATTCCTATAGTTCTTTGAAATGTACTTGAAAACAAATTTAGCTCATAAAGTTAGTCAGGCAAAGTCAGCAGCAGCTTAGAAAGAGTTCTCACACCTTTCATGGACCGTTCATTGGATTTTTCTGCTTAGTTCTTTATCTTTCCCTGGAACCACATTCCCTTAAGTCTGTCATTCGAATCAAGCTCTGACACTTAGTAGAAAGAGGTGGTACAGCATTGGCCCACACACCTACTCCCCAGTTGCCTACATTCCCTTCTGACTGATCTGTGCCAGTCCACACTGAAAGGACTAGACTGTGTGACACTTACAAGAACTGTAAGGTGATCAGTGTCCTCTAGCCAGTTGCCACAGTGAGCATGAAATAGTAGCAGCTTATCCCAGAGCTAAGACCCAGTAGGAACAGGCTTTGCACCTGTACATTGTGGGAACCTTAAAGTCAGGGAGGAGAGGCAGTGGCACAGGGAGTAGAAATCCGTGTGCAAGGGATTCCCATGCCCCACATAGGCTTGCTTGTTCGTTTGTTTGGTGTTTGATGTTTGGTTTGTTTTTTTTTTTTTTTTTTTTTTTTGAGACAGGGTTTCTCTGTGTAGCCCTGTCCTGGACTTAATTTGTAGACCAGGCTAGCCTGAACTCAGAGATCCGCCTGCCTCTCCCTCCAGAGTGCTGGGATTAAAGGTGTGAGCCACCATACCCGGCTCCCCACATAGGCCTCTAACAGCCTAGAAACCAAGGTAAACATCAACCTGATCCCATGGCAGGAGGCAAAAAACCTCCAGAGGCTCAGGACCCCTGAAAGCACAGAGAAGAGGGGCAAGCAGTAGAGTGGCAGACTACCTCTTGGTTTTCAGAGACACGGTTTCTCTGTGGAGCCTTAGCTGTCCTGGACTCACTTTGTAAAGCAGACTGTCCTCGAACTCACAGAGATCCACCTGCCTCTGCCTCCCAGAGTGCTGGGATTACAGGCGTGTGTCATAGTGCCCGGCTGGCAGACTACCTCTTAATTTCAGTTATGGCACTTTTCTAGTACAGGCCTTGGGAGCCCTACAAGTGCAAAGAGACAAAAAAGGCTGGGAGAAGAAAACATGCTAAACAGAGCCTATGAAAGACTGAGTTTATCTTCCATTTTGAAGCAGCAGGAACCGGGGGGTGACAGATAGAGCATGCGTGCTAGGATGAAGCTCAGATTCTCAGTGTAATTTTTACTCTGTAACAACCAGATGATTTAACAACGCCCTCCCCCCCTTCCCTGACATTCAAGTCTTTATCTCCAAAGCAAAAAAGTTGTACAACACTGACGCTCAGATGCTCTAGTATGATCGAGCCCACTGTGTAGAGAGCACGATCCTACAGGGTGCTCAAGGTCGCCTCTGAAGAATTCACACTGAAAACCCCCTAGAGAAGACTCTTAGGAAATTACCATCTCTAGGTTTCCTGTTGTCCTGTGCATGCCTCTTTTTGACAACACCTTTTAGGAAACACTCATATTAGCAATCCACCACCACACACATTACGCAGGTGTTTAATTTATGTGCTTGCTTATCTCTTTAAAGCAAAAGAGTATACTTTTAGCATTTGTGTTTGTTCAATTAAAGAAAAGCAGTTACAGTTGGATGCTCCCTGCTACTAGTCACTGCTGTTGTGGATGAGAATATCAAGAGCATTTGGAATTTATCCCTGAAATCTAGACTTAGACAAATTTCAATTTACAGTAAAACAAATTTGGCAGCCATAGTTGAAGGAACTCTAGATTATCAACACTAATGAAGAAGATCATTGGTGTGGCTAATCCAGAACAGAAGATAAATTATATAGCCAGCTATCAATTATCTGTGTTAATAGAGGAGACCAGTGATGTGGATAATCAAAATATAATTTACATGTAGCTTTGGAAAACATTTGTGATACGATATAGCTCCGTGTAGTTACATTCGTCTAGATAGAATAGTATCCAAATAGGAGGCATCCCCAGGGGTGAAAGATGTCCAAGCGCTCACCCCTGTCAGTGTCAGAGATTCAGCCCTCACAGGTTGTTACTGAATCACTTCATATTGCCTTCCCTAACTCCACTCATTCTAGCTAGAGGGGCGAGGACAGCAGTAGACACTGAGAAGAAGATGATGTGAAAAGGGCTGGAAGAATTAAAAGGGTCTGTTGGCATGGTGCTGACTAAGTGTATCAAAACTTCTAGGGCTCTGATGTAACCATAACTTGATATTTTTATTGATTTATATGATGAGTCAGCTAAATTCTATGTGGTATTTCACAGGCTTTTTTAAAACATCCTGATTTTTCTTGAATACTTAGTTAAGAAATGCTGAACATTAGTAAATAAATCTCAGGCAATATGATAGAAGGCAGATGAGAAGGTCCTGAAGGAGAGTCTCTCCGAAAGAGATGTCTCAGCCTCTCATGCTCCTTCAGTTGATATCGCGTAGTGTATATGGGATAGTTAAAGCAAAGGACAGAGACAGGCAATAGACATGGAAAAATCAGTCAGGAAGAAACGAGTAAAAGGACCGATCTCAACTTGGTTGAGAGAGCAAAGAAAAGAGATGGTTTCCTCTGAGGCTTCTGAGAGTTACCCAGGAACATTTTCCAAGGAGATATAGTCCACACTTACTTCACCATAAGAATCCTTAGCCCAGAAACAAAGAGGACTAATGGGAGGCAGTAGACTGGAGGAGCAGGAGGTAAAGGGAATGGAGCAGAAGGGAGCAAAGAATATGCTCAGTATACAATATATACCCACAAGAAATAAGAAATTTTTAGTTAAAAAAAAAGTCCAGTGGTGGTGGCACACACCTTTAGTCCCAGCACTCAGGAGGCAAAGGCAGGTAGATCTTGAGGTTCTCAGCCACCCTGGTGGACAGAGTGAGTTCCAGGACAGCCAAGGCTACACAGAGAAGCCCTGTCTGAAGAAGAAAAATAGAAAGAAAGAGAGAGAAAGAGAAAGAAAGGAAAACCAAAAAAGAATTACTGCCCTAGTAACTAGTGAATGTTGAGTTTAAATAAGCTACCTTCTGTGTGCAGAGAAAAGAACAGTTTGAAGCTAGGAAGAAGGGAAGAAAGGAGCATTGATAGGAAGGCTACCAGATGAAACAGACAAAAGACAAATCGTTCACATAATTCCAATAAACTGCAGCAGAGGACAAGACAAATAGGGTTGGCACCCATCCCTCCATGCTGTTAACTCGAACTGGGGAAGGAGCCTGGCAGGGTGTACATAGTTCCTTAGTTCCTTAGCCAAGAAGGGAGGAAATCCAGGCTGGGGTAGCCTAGAAGCTTAATCAGGTTGTTCAGTTAGCAAGGCCTACGCCAGGAGCCGCTGTACGTGGTGCATGTGGTGTGCACTTGCCTCTAGTCAGTGTAGCCTAGAAGCTCTTGAGAAGGTTTGCTGAGCAGGGCCACCTTGTGATGTCATTCTTTCAAATGCAATTGCAGGAGTGTACAGAAAGACGAATGTTTAACCAGACATTTCCAACATCTCCATTCATCTACTACTATGATGACAAATACGAGATCCAGCAGAGAGATCGGAGAATAAAGCGAAAAGTGAAAGGTTCGTCATTAAACTTGTGCTTGAATTACTTTTGCAATAGCTCAAAAAAAAAAAAAAAACAAAAAAACTTGTATACTATCTTTGCCTATTTTGGAGGTCATTAATTAGTACATAAAAACAGTTTTAATAATTATAAAAACTAAAATTTTCAAACCTCTACTTCCAAAATCTTACATTGTAATCTATTCACAGTTAATATGTTTCTTGGAGAAAGCATTTTAGAAAATTTCTAAGATTATTTTATCTGTCTAAGCAGAGAGTTAAAGATTCCTTTGAAATTTTTCTACTTGACAGATAATTTCCCCTTTGTATGTCTGATATTTTTCATGGAACATGGGTTTCTGGTGACTCTGTTCTCAGAGTCCGCCGTTGCAGACAGGGCTTCAGGCCCACTGCCACCCCTGTGCGCCCCTTCACCTCAGTGGTTAAGAGCACTGGCTGCTCTTCCAGAAGGCCTGAGGTGAAGTCTCAGCACCCACATGGCTGCTCACAACTGTGTGTTGACGCCAGCTCCCGGGATCTGACGCCTGTGGCTTCCACAGGCACCTGCAGGCACATGCACACACCTTCATGCAGACAGGCACACCTCCACATAATTAAAAAATAAAAACCTAAAAGCATAAATAAATTTACAAAATCTTGTTTAAATCTGTTTCTTCTGCCTCCCTTCTTCCTTGGTACAATCAAGATGTGTTCCCAAGTTACCTTTTCTGTTGCATGATAAAATTATTTTTTAAGCTGTTTTCTGAATTTTTTTCTGACTCTTAGCATTTTTAGGGATTTTTTTTTTCCTTTTTTAGCTTTAGATTCTCTTGAGTTCAGACCTTTTTCAAAATGGTGATACTATTCATCTGCATACCTTACATATTTAACATAAAATTGATCTCCATTATGAAGAAGCTACAATAGATCAAGATAGTGACTGAATTAGAAAGATTACCAAAAAGGCTGTATCTGTACTTTGATTTACTTTTTATAATTTACTTAGTTTGTTTTACTTTGTTTTTCAAGATACGGTTTCTCTTTGTAGCCCTGGATGTCCTAGACTCAGTCTGTAGACCAAGCTGGCCTTGAATTCAGAGCTCCACCTGCCTCTGCCTCCCGAGTGCTGAGATTACAGGCATGAGCCACTGAGCCAGACTCTAATTTAGGTTTTTTTATTTGGTTTTTAATTTAAATTTTTTACAATAAACATTTATAAATTAAAATCTAAGAAAATCTTTTTTTTTTTTTTTTTTTCTTTTTAGCTGGTTTTGACAGCTCTGGCACATAACCATCTTGAGGGTCACTCTGATCCTTGGATAAAATTCTTATTTTATGCTTAAAAGTTTAGGCTTAAAGTTTTGGGGGTTTTATTTTATTTTAAGATTTATTTATTTGTTAGATATACAATGTTTTCTCTGCATGTGTAACTACAGCTAGAAGAGGGCACCAGATCTCATTATAAATGGTTGTGGGCCACCATGTGGCTGCTGGGAATTGAAGTCAGGACCTCTGGAAGAACAGCCATCTCTGAGCCCTCTCTCCAGCCCCCAAGACTAGAAGTTTTTAATCACCATTTCTGTAATATTCCAAGGTTCTGTTCGTTTTCACACACCTCACTTCATCCTCAACTACCACTCACTATTGTCAGTCACTTCTGTCAGTGCTCATAATAAATATGTCAAATCCTAACAAGATGCAGCAGCAGCTAGTACTAAACCTCTAAGGTGCACACGGGAACACCCACCCGGCAGCCACTTCTCTTAGGAATAGTACCCTGGGCGCTGTGGTGGCCACCTCGTGGAAGAATGCCAGGCTTGCCCTTGGAGGGTGACTGAAATGTCTTGTGAGACTGTAAGGAGGCCATTTCTACACCTGTTTCACCTCTCAGGCAACTCTTCCCTAGAGGAACTTGAACGGCTTTTCTCACAGAACAGCGCAAGTCTTCATTGTGAAACATGTTAAAAGTATGTTGAATAGAGTTAATAACAAATACTAATGAATTTGAGGATGTGTCCCCAATGTTAGCAATCAGGATTGTAAGGGCTCTTTAGAATGCTGTATTGGTCACTTGTCTAAATATCTACCTCTGTCTCTTAAGTTATTCTAAGAAAGCAAAAATTCTTCATGGACTGAATAGGCAAAATACTTTTCTTATCTTCCAGAAATCCAGAAAAATGGAGGTTTCCCAAGGCGGTTCAAAAGACCACATGTAGAAGAGACAGATCAGAGGCAGCACCATGGTGTGAGAAAAAGCCATTCCTCGAGAAAAAGCAGTAGGTGGCCTCGAGAAAATAAAGAAACACACAAAGTAGTGACCAGGGATAGAGAAGGCGGGAGGCACAGGTGGGGTCACCGGCATCGTGATGAGGATGAAGACTTCCCCAGGGGCTCCAAACCTCCCTCCTCTGGAAGTGCTAACAATCGAAAGCCCTCCAGGTCCCTTTCCCATTCATCCCACTACCACAGGCTGCGAGAAGAGAAGCTTCTCAGAGAGGGCAGGCGGAGCAAGCCGAAGAAAAGGAAATGCACAGAAGAGGGCAGCAACGATAATTTATTTCTTATTAAGCAAAAGAAGAAAAAACCTAAGCTGTGAGGTGGTTTCTGACCTGGCCTTCACATTACAACATTCTGGCAGGGCTTTGTTGTCTGTTAAATGAAGGGGGCTTTAGGTTTTGATTGCTGAATTTCAGCCATACCTAGGGTTGCTGCACAGAGAGCTCAGTTCTGTGTCTCAGACTGTCATTAGATAGAAAGGTAAACTTAGCTTTCAGTTCCCATACCAATTTTACTTGAGATAGAACACTTTTCTTTTTTTCAAAAAAAAAAACAAACCTTTTTAAATGCTTTGAAAAAAAATTACAAGTTCACCAGATATAATTTATCTACATTATTTGAGTACTTGAAGCTCATTGGAAGGCAGATTGCTATTAATTAAAAAAAAAAAAAAAAAAATCCACCACTTATTTAGCATTCTTTTTTAAAAACACTGAAAAAAAAAAAATCAATGAAAATCCAAACACAGCTTTGCTTGCTTCAGAGGCTGTTGGACTCTTTCTCTGGACAGAACAGCAAAGGCTGACTGTGAAAATGAAGATGTCATCATTGCATCGTGGAAGAGGGCAGAGAAGAGGCCATAGCAGAGGACTCATACAGACTCTGCAGGGTAGGCACACAAGGCAGAGTCCATAAGACTTCAGCATGATCACAGTGGCATTGTTCTTACCAGTCTACAGCCATAGCTCAAGAAATAGAGATAAGTATTACCAACTTAATTTTCATGGATCATTTTAATTACTGCAAAGCTATTCAGAATCTTTTGTACTTGTGAGTCTTTTTTACACTTATGAAAGCCTAAACTTAGAATAAGAAAAATAAAATGCCTGAAACCATGAGTAACTGTGTTTATTGTTACAAAAGACAACAAGAACTTGGGTACTAGAAAGCATGGTTGGGTTGAACAGGTCACTACAGTCATAAAATCCACCGTAATCTGGAGTCACACTGCCTTTGTGTAAAGCTGCAGAGAGCTCCACAGTTCCAAGTGCTCTCCGGAGTCTGTTCCCAGCTCAGGACACAGCATGAGGGACCCAGCCCTTTGAGCCTGCACATTCAAATGCACAGTACCCACACACAGAAATACACACATGCACATAATAATTATAAATCTTTTTTTAATGTCTTCATTGTCCAAACACAAGATCTCTGCCAGAATAAGCTGGTGTGAAGGTGTTGGATCCCCTAGAACTGGAGTTACATTTTTGAGCGACCATGTGGTTGTTGGGCATTGAAACCCAGTTCTCTGAAAAAACAGCAATTAGGAAGAGCTTAACTGCTGAATCATCTCTCCAACCCCAAGTAAAAGGCTTTTAAAAGTGATCAGACATTTCCAAGAAAACCTAGCAGAGCAGTAGCTGCCAGGGGCCAGGGATGCTTAGTAGAAGCAAGAGAAAGGATGAGTGTGTGTGCGTGCTCACATTAGTTGTGATAACTTCACAAGTATTTACATAGGTCACTTTCACAGAGGAAATCTATTGAAAACATTTTAATGTTTTCACTTAATTGGAGTAATCTGAAAAATGTGAGTGAGGTCAAGGTTCATTCAGTAGTCCAAGAGCCATCTTCATTTTTGTTTCTTGCTATTCTATGGTGGAGCAGGAGTAAAACACAAATCTGGTATCCATCAGGGACTGTAGAACTGCTCCCTGGCCCCAGGCCTATTTCTGCAGAACTTGTTTTCAGCCTCTGTGTCATTCACATACATTTTGGATCCCAGTGCCATAGAACATTGTCTTAAATGACAGTCTGGGCTCAGTGCCAGTGAACACTGACCCACCCAGTAAATACTCAGCATTCTTCAGACACCTTGTAAGGGGTGTTACATTTACCAGGAAAAGCCATTATTTTCTTACCTGCCCCTGACACCCAGCCTCTAGAAATGACCTCTACTTCCCTGTTAACTCAAGCCTCCAACAGATCAAAGCCCAATGCTAATTCCAATCCTAGACCGGCTAAGGCACCTTCCTCCAGTCTCAACATAACCCCCTTATGACTAGCTGGACTCTTCCTGGCCATTTTTTGCTATCTTCTCTGACCCTCAAGAGAACCCTGGCTCTCTGAATATTCAAACTTTTTTTTTCCCTTTTACCCAGGAAGCATTCTATTTTGGTACCCTCTCTAATACTTACAAAAGAGAATAAACAGTCAAATACACGAGGGACAGCAATTCTTACTGGCGAGGTATCAGAGAACCCACAAAAACCTTAAAATTTATACCATAACTCTGGGCACCAATTAGAATGGCCCATATTGGACTTTGGAACTAAGGACTATTCACCCAACACTGGATCATCTGTGACAGCTCAAGACAGTGCAGTCAGTGGTTCCTCCATCTTGTTTTTTGGTTTATTTTGTTTGGGTTTTTGTTTTTTGTTTTTTGTTTGTTTGTTTGTTTGTTTGTTTTTTTGAGGCAGGGGTGGGAATGACTTGTTTTGTTCTTGTTTTTTCAACACAGAATTTCTCTCGGTGGCCCTGGCTGTCCTAGAATACATTCTGTAGACCAGGCTTGCTTTGAATTCAGAGATCCACCTGCTTCTGCCTCCCAACTACTGGGATCAAAGATGTTCACCACTACCATCTGGCACCATCTTATATTCTTGCTGAGGCCATTTCAGGTTTAATTAGAATTTGATCTCTTTGATGGAGAGTGCCATGGAAAATTACCCAACTCTATTCTAGAAACCCAAGGTCAAGATGCCCTAGCTAATTTAGCTTAGCTTCTGTTAAACTGCTTGCTTATGCAAACCTCTACCTGCGGCTGTCCATCCAGATACAGGATGTGGGTTTTGCCTTTACAAACCCCTTCACCCTGGGCTACACTTGGATCCCCAATACACTGAAGAACTCTGGCTTTCTCCTTCTGGGTTACAACAGTTACAAATCTCATTAATTTCTACAAATTGGAGTAGAATCTCTGCTGAGGGCTAGGCACTACCCTGAACTCAATACAGTGATGTGTTACATTGTAGGTGCCATGCCATCAGGAGCTATAGCTTGTGAGGAAGACATACTGCACAAGTCCAGTACTTTTAAGAACAGGGTTCTAGGTGTAGCGAAAGGGCTGAACTGTCTGTTCATAAACTGAAGAGATAAAGCCATCGAATTTAACTGGCTGGCCCCACCCTGTTCTGTGTATGACATTACCTAAGTGACTAAAATGGGGGGGGGGGGGTACTTCTAAATAAAAAGGTTCGCTATGAGCCTTTCAGAAAGAAGGCTGGAGGAAAGATATACTCAAGAAAGCTGTGTAAGGAAACACGAGTGTACCAATAAAATGCCAGAGGAAAACTGATCACAGAGCACCATATAACTCCTTTCAAGCTCCAAGCTTATAGCTCTGGGGTGGAAGCCTGGCCTGGGATGGGAATGAAGGGAAGGAAAGAGGATGCAAGAGACTACTTCCCAATCAAAGTCCACTGCTTGTGAGAGAAGCCCCATGTTTTAGTACCCTCTGTTATAACCTGTCCAGCTGGTTTCCTGTCCTCGGGTGAGGCCCAGATTATCTGAGATCACCTGAAATCACGAATCAGAACACCTCTCCAGCAGTATTTTGACTGAAAAACATAGCTTAGCCATAATGACCTGAAAATTTAGAGGCAATCATAGTTGTCATCTTCTTGACGTCAGAGAGCTGTGGAGAACTTCCAGCTTCCAAGGAGCCTCCCCTGGGTCTCTGTGGATACTCATGCCCCTGGGTACCAGAAGTGTTGGCCAAGCTTAACCAAACTCCCCAGAACAGTCCTCCATTACCACAGTGCCCTCTGAAGCAGGACCTCCTAAACCCGAAACTGTCCACATGCTGCCTCACTCTTCCCAGTAGCCATCACCTGGTCAGGTTTGCCAGATGCACCTTTCTGGGAAGATGCCAGACTTGCCTTGACCTCGGCCTCCTTTCATATCTCAGTCTCTTCCTCCACACCCACCCAGTGTAGCCTCAGATTGGGGACCTACAGGCAGCCTGGACAAGTCACGGGTCACCAGCCCCTTCTCTGTGTCTATAACGAGTTACCATCTCCCCTGGGGATACGCATGACAGCCCTCCTGCACTTGACTGCTCAGGGAGTTTTCTGGTTTCTCGCCTCAGTTAACCTTGGCTTCCTGGATCACTCTGGATCCCCACAGCAGAACCAGACTTGAAGGCCTGCCTGCCTGCCTGTAATACATGGGTCCCGCCTGGTCTTGGTCCTTCCTTTCCCATCAGCAAGCCAGCCTGTAAACACCACCATCTTAACAAGGATACGAGAGCTCTCAGCCACACCACGATTTGTGACATTGTGGTCAATAACAAAGCTGCAATGACCTAGTGTACTCTTCGCCCCTTTACACATTCACATGTCAAGTCAGACATATTCAAATCAGGCTTGGAGCTCTTCCCACCAGCCCTCTGCCTCTCTCTGCTGAACCTCATCAACAGAAAATAGTTGTAGAAGATTTCAACAGGTTAGGAGTATGGAAAAGATTCAGTATTGAGCCTTAACAGCTTGATCCCTCCAGACAGGTAGATGGCAGCTACCTGTAGTAACCAAGCACACAGCATGAACTGAGCAGTAGCCTGGAAACACAGGAAGGAGTGGCTCCCAGTCCCAAGCCGAGCTACAGCCTTTCTCCCGGTGACATACCTGCGCACCCCTGGAGTGACAAGTCCCAGAGTTGCTATACAACACCAAGGAACACAAGAATCAGGTGCCAGCCCGGAGAGATGGCTCAGGGGTTAAAAGCAGTGGCTGCTCTTTCAGGGGACCTGGATTCAATTCCCAGAACCCACATGGCAGTCCACAACTGTCTGTAACTCCAGTTCCAGAGGATCTGACACCCTCACACAGACCTATGCAGGCAAAACACCAATGTACATAAATTAAAAAAATAAATATTAAAAAAAAAAAAAAAGAATCAGGTGCCAGACCTGGGTGGAAGGCAAGCCAGAGGGGTTGCAGGTCAAGAAAATGAGATACCTTCAAGACCTCAACTTCTTGGAGCCAGTACCCAACACTCGTAGCTTCCTGAGATCTCAGAGTCAAAGAAACTGCTACAACACAACATCCTATAGCTTGGAAGACTCTCCAATATCACCAGTTCCAGAACCTTCCTTAATACATGGAAACCACACCCAATACTCAGACACAGCCTCCTATCCCACACTGAGTCAGAGGCAAGTCCAGGCCTGGTGCTCTCAGTGTGGGGCTTTTCATGTGGCTGGGAAGTGGGCTGTGGGGGCCAGGACCATCAGCGGGTGAATGTTGAGCTTTTGAAGCCAGGTCTAGAAGCCAGTGAAACAGAAACACCACACAGGGGTTACACTGCCACAGCAGGCTGGAGACACAAAAGGAATCCAGTGCTGGCAGTAAGAAGGAAGAAAGACCGTGAAAGTGAAGTTTGCCATTCGTGACAGGAGGAAACTGAAAATATGTTCTCCAACCCATGCAAATCATGCATGGCCTTTTGTCTGCACCTGCAACCGCTCACAGCACGCTCACACCAGGGCTTGGGTTCCCACACAGTCTACACGGGGACTACACAGCAAGCAGGAGGGACAGTGCAGTCCTCACATACTCAAGCAGGGCTTGGAGGAGTTCCACCCTTCCAAAAGCTGCTGGGCTCACAGCAGCCCCTGCTGTAGGCTGGCCATACAACCCTTATTAGAAATGACCCTGTTAGAGACAACACCCCAGGCTCCGTCCACTCCCAGCCTCTCCTCTCCTCTCTGCTTCACCTTGGGTTCCACCTCTAGAAACCTACCATTTTGTGGGAATTTGCTTGTCCCTGTGGCTCCTGCTGGGAGCGCCTCCTTCCCTTACTCTCCCCTACACCTTGCAAGAAGCTCCTTGTTGAGCTTGGG